TTTGTTGATATTCGTTGTCCAATCAGGGTTGAGTGTATTTTGAGTTGTTCAACGACTTCCGCTTTTTGCACAGCAAACCCGGCATGCGGATATATTTTGGCCGAATTTTGTTATTCCCTCACGGATTTCAGAGCGAATTTAAGCTCTTTGATTAAAGCATCGTTGTTTTGAGAGTTATACGGTATTACGGTATCATTCTTTTAGGGGATATCGATTAAGAAATGAATTATGAAAGAAATGCATTAAAAGCGAAAAATCGAGGATAGTTTCGTGTGACATATGCCAAGTCTGGGCTATTTTGATCTCAATGTCTCCTTCCTTCCCACGTTATAAGGAAGGCACAGGCGGGCGCGGGCAAATCGAGCCTGGGCCTCCTGTGGTATGCTCGGATAAATTACATCTAACTGATGTCTTTCTTTGACTATGCATAGAGCTGTACTTTCAACAAGAAGTACGACAACACTTCACTCCGTGCGTTTTACGAAGGAAACCTACGTTCTTATGGCATTAGTGTTTGCAATCGATGGTATTTCACATTTGATGGCGCAGAATGTGCAAAACCAGCAACTATTGAAGGCATTATTTACGTTCCTTCGAAAACAGTCAACCCCCATCGTCCCCGCCATATTGAAGGCTACTGTAACCAGGTTCCTAAAGGTCATGTACGTGTGGGATTCTGGATTGGCAAGTGTGAGAGTTATGGTCTCGGAGATGGTCACACTGGTTGGAATTCCGTGTCTCGTATTGTGATTGAAGAAGTACCGGCACCTCAAGAGTAAATGAAAGTTCAACTACCGTATTACTAAGACTAAATAACCTAAGTATAAACTACCATACTACTTTTGTATCAGTATTATAATTATACAGTATCTGCACCAATATGTAAACGAGAAATAATTAGAGGTTAAAGTATAAATGACCATGCATGTATACCCTGCACCATATTTGATGATTTTTTCTCACGTTTTTAGTTTGTGCTTTCGATGTAGTTAACTGAAAATATATTTCGAATATAGTTACATATATTTGGTCAGTCACGTAGTTTCTTTTAATTTTCCTGCAGTGTTTGCTCTCAGTATTACACCTATATATATTATACAATTCTATTTTATCGCGATCCTTATGAAGGGCCCTTTACTTCATGACGGTAACTTTACTACAAGTTTTTCCTGCCCGGATGGAATATATTTGTAGATGGAATTTTCGAACGAAGATTTATAACAATTTTAGCCCTAACTGGGAGCACCTGCAAAATATGCAACTTTAGGTCCTTTGGCAAGAATCGAACGTGCAACAATCGTTGCAATACCACTTAAATGTTGGGGGAGCGAGGGGGGGGGGGAGACGGACTTTTCTTTTTGGGACACTCTGCACAGCAAGATGATGGGAAAATTATCAAGATTTTTAGGCGTCTCGTTTCATATAACTGAATGTAAAAAAGATGTACGTGGAATTACATCACAACTCGTCTCAGCAGTTCAGTGGTTAGGGCGCTGCACTGGAATCGGTGGTTAGTGGTTATGGCGCAGGTTCGATGCCGGCCTGAGCATATAAATAACACTAGAGGGGGAATCGTGATCTTAATACAG